TTATGATAGTTTCAAATTGTCACTGTCCCTAGTAAATCTCATCCCAAGGATTTATTTTACAATATCTAAATCTTTCATTGCAAACTCGTTGGATAATGCCTTTTCAACTTGTCCATTTCTTGTTTACAATCACCTTCAATCAATATGTCATCTTATCAACATATAGCATTAGGATATATGAGTCACCAAGGTTCTTCACATAACAATGATGATCCACCTGACACCTATAAATTCATTACTACCCATAAAATTAGATTTCTTATACCCTTGTCTTGGAGCTTGTTTAAGATCATACAATCTCTTTTAAATTCTGCATACTATTTTTCTACTTTCCTATACCTCAAAACCTTGTAGCTGCATAATGTAAATTTCATCATCCATATTACCATGAAGAAAGGTTGTCTTTACATCCAACTGCTCTAAGTGCAATTCTTTCTTTATAACCAGTCTAAATATTGCTCTAATTTTGGTTAGTTTTACTACAATTGAGAAAATCTAAGTGTAGTAAATGCCTTCTTTCTGTTGAAATCATTTTACAATCAGCCTTGCTTTATGTTGCTTACTACCATCATGTTCTTCTTTTAAATGATGAACTCATTTATTTTACAAAGCCTTCTTTCCTTTGATACCTCTATCAATTGATATGTTTGATTGGACAATAATGAGTCCATCTCATCTCTCATGGCTAACTCCCACTTGATTGATTCATCAACCTACATAACTTCACTATAACTTCTTGGTCACCTCTATCAGTCAATAAAATAAATGCAATACCAGAGAATATATATGGATTTTTAACTGGATCTTCTGTGTTGAGTCATGGTGGTGTTTTAATGTATTTATAGGAATATATTTTTTTTGATCTTCAACATTTGCATTCTCTAACTCAATCATTGGAAGATCTTTTAATTGTATCACCTTATACTTCTTAACTTTAGGACTTGTTCCTTTAGGGTCTATTCCCAACTTGTCCTTATACAAGATAAGTTAAAGGTAACAACCTTTTTCTTAATAACCTTTCGAGCTTAATCATCACAGAAATGACAACTAAACTCATTATCTTCATACCCAATAAAGAAACATCTTTTTATTTAGTATTAATTTTGCTTCTCGCAATAGAATCGATGTGAATGTTAGAAACACAACCAAACACTTTCAAGTTTGAAAGGTTTACCCTTTTACTATTGTGGATAGTCTTAGTCTAGAACATCTTTGTAACCCAGCATGTAATTTCATGCTTTATCATGCTCGTTTAAAGTCCTATTTATCCTCTCAACTAATCGTTTTGTTGAGTTGTTCCTAGAATGATTTTCTTTATCTTGGTTCCACTGCTAGAAGAATACTTCTTAAGATCATCATCTACACATTTTTTCCTTATAAACACTCTATGTTCAAATTTGTGTGAGTTTCAACCATCACTTTCCATCTTTTGAAGGGATCAAAGATATCCGATTTATTCTTCAAGAAATAAATCCATACCTTCTTGATTGAGTTATCAATAAAAGTTCTAAGAATTGATAATTGTTTGGAATTCTGCAATTGTGAATTCAACAATTTTTGTAAAGAGCATGACATTTTAAGACATAGATCTATTACCTATACACCTTAACAAAATGGCAAAACTGAAAAGACTGAATAGAACTTTGTTAAACAAGATAAGATGCATGTTTTTGAGTTCTGGTTTATCTAAACTATTTTAGGGTGAAGCTGTTAAAATAACTGCATATCATGTTAATAGAAGTCAAACTAGTGCCTTGAATTTTGAAGTTCCTGAATCTGTTTCGTCTAAAAATTCTATTGATTATTCTCACCTAAAAGTGTTTGGTTGTGCTTCATATGCTCATCAAAACATTGGTAAGTTAGAACCTAGATCACTTAAATGTGTTTATTGGGTTGTGGTGAAAATATTAAAGGATACAGATTATGGGTTAAAAGTGAAAGAGGTCATAGGGTACTCATAAGAAGAGATGTCATTTTTAATGAATCTATTATGCCATGTTTAGAAGTAAAGAAAAATGACTTGACTGAAAAAGACGTTCAAATTGAGGTTGAAACTCCTCATATTGAGAGAAAAGCTTCTAAACCTGTAGTTGAAGAATCTGGTCTTGATGAAAATGTTCTATTAAATGAAACTAGAAATGATCAAGATACTAAACTTGATGACCGTTTTAACCCTGCAAATTTTCCCCTTGATGAGTATCAACTCACAAGAGACACGAAGAGAAGGTAGATCAGACCTCTTGCTAGGTTTGATTGTGACACTTTTGTCTTATTGTTTACTTATCAAGAACAATTTGAAAATGAGTCAAACTCCTATGATGATACTATTAATTGTAAAAATGCTAAAAACTGGAAAACTGCTATGGAAGATTAAATGTCTCTACTTCTTAAAGATAAAACTTAGGAATTGGTTGACAGGCTTAAGGACTATAGACTAATTGATTGCAAATGGATCTATAAAATAAAGGAATGGGAAGGAGGGAAATAGAAGTGTTAGATACAAGACTAGACTTGTTGCAAAAAGATTTACACAAAAAGAAGGCATAGATTATACTAGTTTTATAAAGAAGATTCATCTTGCTAAAGAAATTAATGTATGGCTTAAAACAAGCTGCAAGATAGTGGTACAAAAGATTTGACACTTTTTTTTTGAAACTTGGCTTTCAAAGAAGCAACTATGATACTTATCTCGATTGTAAAGGTAAAGGAGGTACAAATTCTTTATACTTAGTGCTTTATGTGGATGACATGCTACTTGCTAATTGTGATAAATCTGAAATTGAAAATATCAAACAAAAACTGAAATCTGAGCATGATGTGAAGGATATTAGTTCTGTCAAAAAAATCCTTGCCATGCAAATTTTGAGAAATAAAGAAGAAGACCTATCATTTTTGAATCAATATGACTGTGGTTAAAATTCTGAAAAAGTTCAACGTGTGTCTTGTACTAAAATTCCTTGTGCAAATGTGATTGGATTTGTTTTGTATTTGATGGTATGTACTAGACCCGATCTTATTCATAGCATTAACATACTTAGTATATTCATTAGTAACCAAGGGGAAGAACACTAGAATGCTTTAAAATAACTTTTAAAATATCTGAAAGGATCTTCTAATTTTGGTCGTGTTTAAAATGAATAAAGAGGGGGATAACTTTAAAATGTTATACTGATTCTGATTTTGTTGAAGATAGAGATCATAAAAAATCAAAATCATCCTATTTCTTTACTTGTGCGGTACTGTAATTAGTTGGAAATTTCAACTTCAAAAGGTTGTGGCTTTGTCCTCAACTAAAGCAGAATACATTTCTGCTTCTGATATTTTTAAAGAAAGTATTTGGTTGAGTGGTTTATTGAATGAATTTGATTTTGTTGATGAAAATGCAATTTTATTATCTGATAACCAAAGTACTATACATTTGAGTAAAAATCTCATGTTTCATGATAAGACTAAATATATAAATATTAAATATCATTTCATATGAGATATTATTTTTGAAGGAAAATTGAAAATTGGCAAGGTTGCTACCCAATTTAATCATCCAGATATGGGGACAAAAATAATACCTTTAAACAAAATGCAAAATTGTTTAAAGCTGTTATCTATTGATACTTTGTAATGTATGTATAAGTACTTAGAGCAAATGAAATATGAAAACGTTGGTATGCTCTTGGTTGCACTATGAACCGAAAATTAAGGTAGTAATGTGAAGATTGTTGAGATTCGAACCCGGGTTCCACTCCCTAAATTTTAATACTGAAAGCGTGTCTTTAAGTTGAGTGGTGCAACTGGATCTTAACATCTGTCCATATCTTGACCCTTGGCTCGACTTCTAGATGGTTCCAAAGTATAACACTTGTGTGCCGTTTCACTTCGCACATTATTTTGACTTCCGGGTTTCATTTTTGAGAGAGCTTTTCTTCTTTGAGCTAGGGTTTTTGATCTGCTTCGTTTTCTCTCTTATTTTGTCTCTTAAAGGTCAGTGGTAAAGAGAAATTTGAGGAATACCTTTTACCACATCAAAGAATGGAAGAATGATGTGGCGAAAGAACAAGTTAAAATATATAGTGCACATGAAGAGAAAGGAAAACGTACCAAAAATATAAATAACGGAATAATTACAAGTAGTCATATCATTTTCTTTATTTCTCAAATCAATGCTAGATATTATTAAAAAATAATTACTAATAAAGCAAAAATTATCAGAATTTTTGTTAATAAATTTTAATTATTGCTATATTTTAATCTAGTCTGCTTAATTTTGAAACTCAAATGTCAGGATAGAGATCGTCCTCAGTTAGAACCGTTAAAACATTTATTATTATTATTATTATTATTATTGAATGGGGGAGTGAAAGAGAAGGTGCCAATTCTTGAACCCTTTGAACTCAGTTGTTAAAATAACAATCCTTAAGCAGTGCAAAACTTACTTGTAATGCGATATTAGAGAAAAATAAATAAAAATATCATCTATGCACCAAAACACGACTCAATGTGATTTAAGGAAAACCTCCCAATTTCAATTAGGAATGGCCTCTACAATTCGTTATTTAGGTAAATTAAACAAAAATTTCAATTGCGAGATAAATTATGAAGAGACAGAATCACGCCAGAATGTGTTATGATGGAAGTCATTGATAAAATAAAAACATTAATTCTATCTTCATTATTATTATTCATTTATTTGCTCTCTATTTTACAGTCTGAATATTCAGGAGCTACCAGTCCAATGCCACTTTTCTCCATGCATTAACTATATCACTAATTAAGACAAGCACGAAAACTAAAGCTACTAAAAATACAAATACAATAAGAGGGGGCTACTGAAATTAAAGCTTCTACAAACCTACAACATTGCTAAAGATACACTTAAAACATCAGGTTTGAGAAGAGACCAAAGATTTTGAGCAATTTAACAATTATAAGGAAGCATGGACTCAGAGAAATATCATTTGCTTGAAACCTCAGTAAGTAAAATCGTACCCAGAGGAAAGTAAATGTCAGGTCTTGTGGAACTTCCACAATCTGATGTACTTATCATTGTGTGTAGTAACAATCTTCTGCATTCCAACACCCAAGCATTTTATAGGAGGCCGATGAGGCATTAGATCAATGTGGGCATCTTCAGAAAGCCTTTTTACTTCATTTTTCTGAATAGCTCCATACTTTTCTGTTGATCGATTTCGAACATTGCTACTTTCATCCATGATGCAGCCTGATAGTACTAACCCATTTTCCTGATCAAGGATTCTTACTATGCCATCTATTCCGCCAACAACTAATGTTGATTTGTCATTCCGTAGGTGACCCATGGAATAAAGAACATTCGGACTGATTCGTGTCTTCCACACAGCTCTCAATGTCCTGCAAGTTCTCCATAATAAGGGTCCATGACTCCTTGAACGCAGTATATTTTTGACGTATAAACAGAAAAAACCAGATGAATTCTAAACCAACACTAGCTTTGTCCTATATATTTTCAGGTATGAATTTTTTATCATGTCCAATATACATCTAAAAATACACTGCAAATTTAATTATTTTCCTTTCAGTACTTGCTCCAGTATTCTCATTACCATCGAAGTCCAGACAAATTTCCGCCCAAACCATAATCAATCAAATTCTTATATTGGAACAGAAATGAATGCGTATGCTCTTGAAACATGTAATGAGAACCGAAGAGTTTGGTTCAATGAGTTCATATAAAGATGCAGGAATTATATTGACAAGTTGTTTGGAAGGCACAATGTGAACACTGATGATTGTTGAACACAAATGTTGATAAGAGTGTAAATTACACTACAAGAATTTAGTAAGGAAGAGGATTAAGATGAGAAAAGCAATTGGCCCAATGAAGATATGAATGTGAGAAAAGCCATTGGCACACATTGAATTCCTGATATCGACAAATTCTTTCAATGTCCAAAGAAATGAAATAAAAAAGAGTGATTTTTTCCAATCCACTTCTAATTTCATCTCTATCAAATTTTAATATCTGAGTAGAATATAATTCTATATAATCAATGGTTATTGGAAACTTAAATAGTTCACACCACTCTTTGGCTCTAACCATAAATTATCTACTAATAGGTATTTCAAAATGAGATCCATCTATACAGTAGCGGTATTTAACTAGGAAAGGTAGCTGGGTAGCTGACCCTCGTAATCCATTCTCGACGGAGTGAGAGCTTCATTTTATGTGTTTGAAACTGAAATAAGATTTTCTCCACTAAATGAATAACCTTGTGACCAATGGAGAATTTTTTCTCATCTCAAATTTAGGTGACCAGATTTGCATCGGAACTGGTAATAAACATGAAACCAACCATTTTGGTTCTATATTTGTTAGAATAAAACTTTAAAAGTAAAAAGATGCTGGTAGAATGAAGAAAGAACGATATTGTCCCCATTGTTTGAAAAGGCATAATTGGCAATTGAGTTTATCCTTCTTGAGGCAAGGAGTAAGCCTCACTTCGTTTTAAGTCAAACCTCATCGTAAACCAAAAGACTTTAAAAAAAAAAAATACTAAAATACAACACGAACACATAGTAAATCATGAACAATCTTCAAAATTCATAATGGAACAAGTAAAAATGTGCAAACAAACAAAATAAAAATCCATGAAGTAAAAAAAAAAAAAACTATTTATTTGATGGTGGACCAGTAGACTATTCCTAATTCGCTTATGATAGTCTTATTGATGAGACTAAAAATGGATTAATCGTATGTCAAAACTTTGGAAGAGCTATTTGGACCTATGATACTTGGACTCGGGTACAGGTATCGGGTACGGGTATGTATCTAAGTGTCGGATCTTTTATTTTCTAAAATGTAGGATATGGGAATATAGCTAAAAAGAGTCAAAATTTCGGATACGGGTACGTAGGTACGCCTTTCAAACTTCAATTTTTTTTTACTAGCCCAAAATGTCATTTTGAATAAACCAAAATCAATTGTTCACATAGAAGGAAATAAGTATTGAATAAGATGTTAAGACGAATAAAATTGAATTTTGGAGTTTAGTTTAGTTTCGGACACGACATGACATGGGTATGGAATATGTGTCGGATCCTCCAACTTTCAACCGGACACTTTGCTATTTTCTTTTTTCTTTTCTTTTCTTTTCCTTCCCTCCCTTTTCTTCTTTCCCATTTCTGCTCTCTATAAACGTAGCACCGCCGCCGAAAGGGTGGAGAAAGGCGATGGCACTAGGTTTTCCGTTCTTCTTTCTTTTTTCTTTCCCTTTTCTTCTTTTATTTTCCCTCTTTCCCTCTCTATATCGGCAGTTTAGGGTTTTGTTTGTATAAAATGAAAATAAATTTCATATAGTAATATAATTGCAATCAAGTCCCTCATTTTCTATTTTATATAACATTTAGTAATATAATGGACTACTATAGAGGATCATTTTGTTCCCAAAACTGTGTTTTAGATATCTTTTCCTTTGTTTGCTCATTATTTATTTGTTTGCTCATTATTTATAACAAGGAATGAGGAATTTAAGAAGGCGTAATTCTTAGAATTATGATGGGTTGAGTGAAATCGAGAAATACTCCATGATCTTGTATGATAAGAAAATTCCTATAAGATGGAAACGCTAGTTTTATGGAATAGTGATTGGACCTGCTATGCTTTATTGTTCTCAGAGTTGGAATGTTAAAATTATTAATGTTGATTGTTGGAAAAATGAGGATGCTAACATAGATGTGTGGTGATACTAAAATGGATAAGATAAGAAATGAAATATATGACAACATTACTAGTCTTTTTTGGTTACGTTCAGGAAATGACTGGCTGAGGTGCTTGAGGCATGTTTTGTGCAGACCTGAGGAGCCCTTCGTACATGCTAGTGGAGCAATCTTGAAAGAACATGCCAAAAGATCACATGTGGTCTGTGGTGAAAAAGGGATTCACATAGTCGACCCAAACCAAAAGCAAAACAAAACCCCTACGAAAGAAAATGAAAACATAGATACAATAAAATAAAGAGAACCTATCAGTGGCCGTCTGCCATGACAATGCGCAACTTTACTTGGGAAGGGAGGTCACACTTGACTAATAGGAACGGACAGCTAAACATGCACATGCTCTTCACTTGTTGTCTTCTCTAATTCTCAATTTTTCGCTTTTCAATTTTTAAGTTGGTGGAGTAACATTAAAGAAAAAAGGGAAAAGATTGAAGGAAAATTGAAGAATTGGGAGAGAACTTTCACTTATATTGCCTACAACAAAAAAACAATGTCTTGTCCTGAGGGATTGAGGAAAGGGAGTGATGTCCAATGGTGATAACAAGGAAAAATGGCATTTTTTTATCCATTAAAGAATCAAAACTCTTTGCAAGTGTTAAGTTTACAAACCAAACAACTTCGGTACCAATTGATAGAGAATGGTAAAGAGAAAGAGATTGGTAGTAGAAGAATTGAGAAAATCATTTTAGCACGGTCATAGTGATATTTCAAAAATATTAACGACTATAAATCAATATCTCAATAATTTCACGACTTGAGAACTAAGAATTATTACAAGAAAATCAATTAATAATTTTAAATCCACGCCTAGTATATGTGTGTTTTTGGACTGTAATCTCTCACTTTGGAAAGTGGAAAGGTTATCTCCTTTACTAGGATATAATATGTTAGATTGTCTTAAAACAGCAAACACCCCATGAATAGTTCTAGGCCATTATAAACCAGACCAATACGTTGAGGTTTGTCAAAATGTAGCCTCAAAAGAGCCAGAGAACGGAATCTCACCTAGAGGAGTGCACTCACTAAGTCAAGCCATAATCTTTCACATCGAGCACGTAAAGTGTAAGATTTGAGGCTCCTAATGAAAGTCTCGCAAGAGGCATGCCTCTTGGCTTAAGCTTCGGGATCTTCTTAGAACACTGATCGAAAGGTACAGATTTAGAAAGTGAAGGGATATGGTTTAAAGTGGACGGATTGCAAATGCTTAAATAGTCTGGTATCCAAGTCACTAGAACCAAGAACGTAAATAGAAAATTGTAAAAATCCTTGTGAAGATGTCTTTGGTTTTAGAATTGATTACTACATAAATAATAAAAAATTAATTCAGGAACTGACCATACATCTCTCTGAAGTTAAATCTCAGAGACATAGAATGGCCTCAAGCGAACCAAAATATGTTAAAAGGTTAAAAGCAAAAGGGTTTTCCTTACCTTAGGTCCCAACAAGATGCAAATCCATCAGTTGATCCAGCAAATAGTAAATGAGAGCTTGGGTTCAAACACAGAGTCTTTATACCTGTGGTAAGTTGTCAAAAGGAATAAATGTCAATGATTTTGATCCACAGATATGTGCAGTCATCAGATGACCATTCCATTTGGACATGCGTCATCTTGCATTTAAAAAAACCGTTGTTATTGATGCACTTCTTCAAGAAACCAAAGAAACCATAAACTTCACACAAGAACAAAATATTTACCTCCACGTCGATTTTCCTTGTGCTTATTCTTCACCCCACCCAAAAGGGGCAAAAATTAAACTGAAAATATGTTTGTTTTATAGAAGAAAGACACCTCCTCAATTATTCCATAAATAGAAGGCATAATTATACACTATTAAGTAGGCTGTGCATAATGAAACTGTGAAGTACATAACAGATGTTCAACTTAAAGAAGTATTTAATCAGGTGTTCGACTTGAAAAAATTATCATGGAAATACAAATCAAGACGATTAAGTATTACAAGAAAAAGTTGACTTCTTCAGATTGTTAAGGGGATTTAGTGCCAGCATGAAATGGAAGTAGCACTATACCCTCTGATGCTCATATTTTTCGAAATGGACAAAATACTCGTGTCGGACACAACAAGACATGGGTCTGAGTATGAGTATGGGAAATGTGTCAGATCCTCCAAGTTTCAATTGGACACTTCGCCCTTTTTGCTTATTTCTTTTTCTTTTTCCTTTTCTTCTTCGGCGGAGACATTAGGTTTTCCCTTCTTTTTCTTCCTTCTTTTTTCTTTCCCTTTTCTTCTTTTTTCCTTCTTTCCTCTTTTATATCGATAGTTTAGAGTTTTCTTTGTATAAAATGAGAATGGGTTCTCTATAGTGCTACTTAGCATTCCACTAAGTTTAAATTGCAATCAAGTCCCTCATCTTCTATTTTATATAACATTTAGTAATTAACTTCCCATTATTGAAAACTAAACCCCTAAATTCTATCATATTTGTCTTAACCCCTTATTCAATTCTCATTTCCTTCTTTGTAAAGGATTGATTTTGGTATATTTAAAATGACATCTTGGGTTAATGAAAAAAATTAAATTTTGAAAGACATACCCGTAACTCTTTTTAGCTATGTCCCTGTATCCTATATTTTAGAAAATAAAATATTCGATACTCAGATGCATACCCGTACCCGAGTCCAAACATCATAGACTATTTCTAGGATGCTTTTAGTTACTAAATTGGAAACGATGGATTAATAAAGAAGGAATCAGCAAAATATTTCTTAATTTATGTGGATTCCAGATATTTTAGGTAGTGAGACAATGCATTGTCAAAGAAGTTAGAAGCAAAATGTTTCTCAGTTTATCAGAAACCCAGATATATGAGGTTGTGGGCTGTCTACAATGCACATAGGATGAGAAATTTTATAGAATTTTGGTCCCATGAGAGAACGAGATGCCAAGGGTTGAGGTACTTGCCCAACTTATAACCTAGTAATGACAAAAGCAGCACCGTTCTGGTACCTGCATCTACCATTGTTTCAAAACATTCAACCCAAGTGAACTTTTTGAGATGCGATCCCATTCAAAAAAGACTAAAGAATGGTACTATCATTAAATTGGTTTAGATGGGTGGAAAAATTTTTATTTTTAAGTAGATCAAACAAGAAGCTGGAACGTAGGATGTATTCTGTTGCCAAGCGACATGAGTTCTTAAGCACAGGGTGCTCGGTGTCTCCTGACAATAGTTTGACTCTTTTAAGTAACAGCATCAAAGAAGGCACACAAGATCCTTCAACTGCCAGATAGATAGCCTCAGACAGATGAATGAGGATTGCTTATATACATATCACCTGTCGAATTCCATGGAATAGCCTTGTAAATGGAACCCATACTCTTAAATAAAGTGGTGACTTCATGAAAATGGTGAAATTAGAAGGAAAACACAGGTGGGTTCTCTCATTAGAGGTAAAATTGGAGGATTGTAGATGGATGATAATGATGGGCTGACTAAGTCCCCAGCCTACTAAGCAACCAGTCTTGGGGAAGCCTGAGAGGTTGTTATCAACCTCCTTTTCTAACTCCTGGAAATCCTACGTTGTCTCAACCATGTTTTCTCCTCATCTGACTTGTAGAGTCCATCGAGTTGCACATTAACTAACACTTACAGGAAAATGTAAAAGTCAAAACCGAATGAAGAACTCCCAAAAAAACCAATAAAAGAATATATAATACAACCTGCAGAACTAGCAGCACTCAATGTTGCTACCCGCTGATCTGATGAAAGATCTGACATAGTAAGGCTGCCGAGAGAGGAACCACTAACAATCAATTGATCATCACTGAAAGATAAACATGTTACAGACCCAGAATGCATCCTGCAAAAGAATACAACATACAAGACTGATAAGCAATTGTAGCCAAACCACCATATGCCTTAGTGATAATTTCACAAAAGCCTCTTCGAGTTTATCAAATACTAAGAAGGCTGGAAGTGAAGTCATATACATACTTGATTATTTGTGAACATTTTCTGCTGTACATGTCAAATACACGAACTTTCCCGTCCTCACACCCAATTACTGCCTGTGGGTCTACATAACTACAAAGAAGAAAGAATGGAAGTTCTCCTTTTTGTAAACAAAGAATGTTCTGTATCATATGTGAATTAGCTCGCACATAAATGAAGTACATTAAAAGCAAGAAAAAAATTCAAACAAGGTGCCCTTTCTATAGTAAGAACAGTACCAACTAATGAATAACATCAAACAGAGCAGAGAATGAAAAAAACTTGGAGATAAACTTATTGCATTTTACTACCATATACAAGAACTTGACTTCCATTAAAATTTCTGTATCTGATGCATTAATGTTGTGAGGAGACAAATGCATTTTCATATAGTTTTACAAAATAGTTGATTCATTAGTTTACACTTTAGTGGTATTCTTATAAAGTGATAATGCCTATTCTACCACAATCATCATTTTCCCCTAAAACATATGGCCACAACTGCACCTGACCATATTATGACACTTCAACATTCTATCAGTAACAGAGAGTTGTATATTAAACTTCAGGGAGAAAGATAAAATGAAAATAGAGAGGAAATATTCCTCCTGTTTGGGTTCCATAGGATAAGAATAGGAAAATACTTTTCAGAAGCATTGTAACTTATCTTCTAAATTTCTTTAACTTCAACGACTTGGGAAAGTTTCTGGGAATGAGCCATGTTTCATGGGGAGCAGGAGCCAAAGAAAGAAGTTTCTCTACTTTTTATGTCCTTTACGAATAGAATTTGTGTAATAGCCAAGCCTCTATGCCCAAGCCATTAACTTGTCCAAGTGGTACCAGAATTCAATTTAAGTTTGGAGAGATCATGTATTTGAATCCTGGGACGTGACATCAATCCATGAGGGGTAAGATTGGCCCAAACTCTCCTAAAGTGGACAATACGTAAGTTAACAACTTGGGTATAGAGATTGGATCGTTACAAAAAAAGCGCATTTTTTTGTAACGATCCAGTATCTGTGGCCAATCCGTTAACTTACATACTATCCGCTCTGAAAGAATTTAAACCCATTTTACTCCTTACAGATTTCTATTGCGTCCCCAGGATTCAAATCCTTAAACTCTGCTTAAGGAGAGATTTAAGTTGAATCCTGAGCTCGGGCTCTTCCAGAGCGAATACGCAAAATTCAAATTATCGGTTTGGACACAGAGGCTAGGTCGTTACAAAAAATAAAAAGTAATCACATAATTTAATTTTTTTGTAACGACTCAATCTCTGTGCCCAAACCGTTAACTTACCTAATGTTCTCTCTAGAAGGGTCTGGGTCTATCTTACCACTCACGGATTTCTGTCGCGTCCTCAAGATTCGAAGACATGACCTTCCCTTAAGAGAGATTTAAGTTGAATTCTGATGCCAATTAGACATTAGCTCTTCCAGAGTGGTATCTCACTAACGGCTCGGGTCCCTCGAAAGGAGGCCTTCTGGATTTTGAAAAGTGCAAATTTTAAAGAACGGGAATATGTTTCATCCACACCTGAAACATATCTTGATCCCTGAAAGTTAGCAAGCTACCTTTCTTTAATCCACCTTCTCGGGAAGCAAAGAGAATGCAAATGGACAGTGGATGTTGGTCATGGTAAATTCTAGTATCTTATGTTCCGGAATGAACTCTTCTATCGTCTTGCATTGTCCAATTGGTCCAGGATTCAACTTAAGTCTCTCTTAATGAGAAGTCATGTGTTCGAATTCTGGAGACGCAACAAAAATCTGTGAGGAGTAAGACGGGCTCAGGCTCTCCCAAATCGGACAGTACGTAAGTTAACGACTTGGGTACAGTGTTTTTTGTAACGACCCAAACTCTACACCCAAACCGTTATATCATACGTACTGCCCGCTTTGGGTGGATATCTGCCCCGCTTACCGCCCCACGCCTAATTCGTATCAGGATTCAACTTAAGTTCTCATTAGGTAGAGGTTTTAGGTTTGGATCTTGGGGGATGCGATAGAAAGCCGTGAATGGGTGGGTAAGTGGACAGATGTCCACTCAAAGCAGACAACACGTATGATATAACGGTTTAGGCATAGAGGACGTGTCATTACAATTTAAAACTAACATCACATGGCATATATAAGTAAGCATATATAGTCTGAGCTACTTTTGAGTGAAAAGAATAACGAAAGCGAGCAGTTGTTTGTAAATAAGTCTTACTTAGACGCAATTAGAATCCTTGTATTTTAACATGAACAATTTTTCAATTAGTTGATTGAAATCAAAAGATATATAATCAAATCAAACTGTAACTAAAAAAATTTTACACTATCTATTCTATGCAAAACCTCACTTCTATAAGTACGGGAAGACCTTTTTGACCTGGAAAGTGATTGCAATTCTCGCAGCACCAAAATTGGGTGCATCCCTGCATTTCCACTTCTGTAGAAAATCTTCTTATAAATTCAAAGGGATCATTTGTACTTATTAGTAGCAGGAACTAAGCACTGTTGGAGCCAAGAGGCCAGTAATAATTTCCTTTTCCTTGTCAGGGGTACAATGAGTCAGAGATAAAGCATGTTTTATGAAGTTGGTTAGTGAGGTGGATGGAATTAATGCTTTTTATGTATTTAATAGAGGGATATCAATGATAGGGACTTTTATGTCTTCATCTTAATATTCTACTTCATAAAACTAGTCCACTTTGGACATTAAGCTTTTCTTAGAAGGCGAAGATGAGAAGGATGCCGATTAATTTGAAGAAAATGAGTTTCGAGATTGAAATTATGCTCCTTTTGAAATGGGATTCTTCGTATTTCCTGTTCCCAATCCATAGATATCAATATCATCTACATGGAATGACTAATCCAGAAACATATCTGATAATTAGTAATAAGATTAGAAAACCGAGGCACAATAACCATAATTAAGCCTCAAAGTGCCTAATGTTTTCTGTGCAGAGACTTTTAAGAGATATATTTCTTAAAATCTTCTAACTTTGGGAGTTTCTAGTGTGGAGGATCCTTATACCGCCTAGCATACTTTTCATAATGTCAAGGTAGAAGAAAAACATGGCACAACGAACCTGTAGAAATACAGATAAAAGGGAGATTTCTGTCCTTGAAGTCTGGCTACAAGAATTTGTATTTAGGAATGGCTCTTATAGAAGATTACAACCACTAAGGAGGTACAACAGGATCATTAACACTTGGAGAATAAGATTGACAAGAAGGGAAAGCTAGGATAAGTGTGTCCTCCATTTACTTCATACCTACATATATTATTGGAATAGACATAAAAGATGACAACAACTAAGTAATACATGACATAAAGTTGACAACCGCTTCACTGATACACAACCTTTATTCTTTATGATGTTAGTGACCCTATTTTACCTCCTTGGTGGTTGTAATCTAGCTGAAACCAATGCTGCAAGAGTACTGAGATTGGATTTTAAGATATTTGTTTAAGAAAAATATAATTAATACTTGACTTTTTTACTTGGGAGCAATACGGCTATGAAATAGAAGTCAATGCTCTTTGTACCAATTGACTCAATCAAATCCATTATACGATTTAGGCAGTTTGAGGGGCATCCCTGTGAAATGTGCATTATGCCATTCTTTAAACTAATCTATTTCAATTTTAACCTATGGCAAAATATTAGATTAAATGTGCACTGAAATTGTTTATTCTGAAGTGATATTTTCACCTGTAGATAACACTGGAGGTGCCAAAATTTTGCAACTCATTGACAGTCTAGAAAAAAATGGAAAAGGTATAATCTATAACAACTTAAAAAGTAGCTCAGATATCATAACTAACTTGACGTTGAGGGAAAAAAACTGTAATGAGAAAATCCTTTCACAGATAGCAATGATAAAGAGGTATAATGAAAATTCTGGAATACGCTTTGAAGGCTTCCTTGTCACAAAACCTCTCCAAGTACTACTGGATAACAGACCCCTCGGTCCCTTCCTACCACAAACATACCCATTAAACTCAGCCAAGCCCAACCAGTTAGAATACAAACCTGGTGAATTGGGATCCAGGATGGCCCACTTCACTAGTTGGATCTGATATGCTTGAGACACTAAAAACCTGGGGGAACTACATTATCGAACTCCCAACTAGCAACCTCGAGAAACATCCAGATCTTGATCCACCTCATAAAACAAAGCTAAGAAACTCCTATTAAGCCTTGAACCCACCACCTTTTCAAGCTTCTAAACAGCCAGGTCTAAAAAAATGATTCCTTGGTCTAGCACCAGAAATAATCAACATAAGTTCAAAAGAAACTGCAATAAAAAGAGTTGCGAGGAAGTAAATCCTTGAAGTCTATTTACACCATGCATCAAAAAATGATAGACAGAACATCTACTAACTACGGTCTACAATTAATTGGGCCATATACCTAGAACTTTTAACTAAGGAAGAGTAACAGCCAGTATGGTGGGGCTTCTTCTGCTTTTGCTTTTTGTAGAAGAGCTTCCAGAAGACATTGGCCAGATTCCACTAAAAACTGTTCTAACAAGACAAAGTAATTTTAGAAAATTATCCAAATAGGCCACAAGCACCTTTTAGTCTCTAAAGAAACTTTTGACTTCCTACATAATGGGCCCTAAATTGATTGAAGCTACTTACCACATATAATGCAATAAAAGAATGAAGATGTGACGTAAATTTTTTCAGGACTCACTCCCAGATTATTGATTGAACTTCCTATATTGCTAATGACAAAGAAAAAGTTAAGGACGTGTTCTCTTTGCCGTTTTCAAGTCGTTTTCTGTTTTCGATTTTTCACAACAGTGAAAACGCGTTCTTTTTTCTATTTTTGAAAACGCATTTTTGAAAACAAGTTTAAAATTTACAACGAAAACCCAAAACGACAAATTTGTCGTTTTGGATGTTTTCAAGCAAAAAACACGAAATCAATCCAAAACACGGAAAACGCCCAAAACACGGAAAAATACCCCTGTTTCTCCTTGGTGAGCCGCCAACTATGGAGCCTCACTCCTCCACCTTCCGGCCACCACGCCCACCGGACACGACCACCATTAGCATCACCTCACTGCCTTCTACAACTTTCAACCAACAATCAACCAAAAAAATCAGATTTAGCAGAAATTTTAGCCCAAAAAACCAATCTGGCGCAAATTGCAACTGTCGGAAATTCCACCTCCGGTGACGGCCAAGGTCCCGCACTACAACCGATCGATTTCCCATCCTCAAATGACTCCAGACATGGACTCAATTTACTCCAAACAACACTTCAACATCCTAAATTAAACTCAGAAACTCCAATCGCGAAGCTTTCGACACAGGGTCCGAACTTTTCAATTTCTGGTGCCATCCGATCGACCCATAGTCGCGGACCACATGGGTTGGTCTCTTCTCCCCCTGGTGCATCTTCTCAAACCATGGGTCAAGCCCAATTTCAACCAAACTTTGACGAATTCATGGGTGTTCGAGGTAGGTATTGATTCGTGATCCACTTGATGAAAATTATAATCCCTGTTGTTGAGGAACTTCAAAGAAGATTACCTTTAGCTATTGGCCGAGGCGAAGGAGAAGATTATAAGCTGCCTGAAGCACAAACCGAATATGACTCTGATGAAGAAACTGGTATACCACGTCGTCTGAAATTTCATTTGCAAATTTCCATCTTCTTCTTATTGATTATACTGTTTATGAATTATGTTATTGAAAGTTTTACAAAAACTTCTCGCATTCCTTTTTACTTGTTTCGTTTATACCAATTCTTATAACTGAATACTGAAAATAGCAGAATTGATTATAATTTGTTAGTAACAAGTGCAAGTGCTTTCGTACACTTATTGATGGTTTCAATGATTACATGTAGAGTTCCCTTTTGAATTTAAAGCTCTGGAAGTAGAATTAGAAGGCATATCTAGTTTTCTTGACTCATTGTTGTTCTTGCTTGATGATTATTAGCAATAAGTTTCTGATTGCCAAAAGCAAGTTTTGGCAAGATTTTTTGTTTCAAGTTTAATTTTTTATTCACATTTATGTTGGCAATTTTAATTTGGCTTTGGGTAAACATTTGTAATTTCTTTTTGTTTTACCTACTGTGGCCATCATTGTAGGCTGAGTTGAAGGAGAAATTGGCTAGGATGTATGAAGTGAAAGATCCAAATGCCATATTTGTGTTCAAGTGCAGGAACCACTTTGGTGGAGGAAAATCCACTGGTTTTGGCTTGATCTACGGCTCTGTTGAGAATGCAAAGAAATACGATCCGAAATACAGGCTCATTAGGGTAATTCTTGTACCTCATTGAACTTTCAATGTTTATATTATGCTGGTAAATGGACATTTAAGCAAGTGATAAATTCATTAGAATTGTCGGTTCAACATCTGTTGGCTGGTGAATATAACATACCACAGGCTTCTTGTACTTCACCAATAAGTGTGTTTAGATGTATATGGTTATTACTTTTTTTCCTGCATGCTCTGCCCTTGCACAAAACATCTAAATAAAGTTGGTGAGCGGTTAGGAGTTGTATGTGACAATTGATGCCTCTTGTTTCCAGGACAATTTCCATAGAACTTGTAAAAAGGACCTCTTTATAAATATGGAACCATTTCTTTGTTGCCTTTGATTTTACATTGGAGGCTAATTGTGCATGTCTTCAAACTAGACAATTTACTTGAATGGTTGTTTTGTTAATTGATAGGTTTGTTGATTTTCGCCTTTCAAAATTTAGAATGACTGATTCTTTTATACGATATGCTCACTAGTAATATTGTAGTATTATATTCCGGTAATTTTCACTTTTGTTTTGCAACTAATTTCTTTAATTGATTTGTACAGACTAAAGCTAGAGATGCTGTTAAGGCTGGTAAGAAGAAATGAGTTTCAAAGATATCATGCTTTCCATGTTTGGAAACTGAATACAGAATTCTCTTTGCTGCCAAGTTTCTTATATTGTTTGTTACTTTCTCTAGTTATTTTTTGTTGCTTTTTTCTATTAGAAGAATTGCAATTTTGTAAAGTTTTTCAGTACCCATTATTGAATTCTTAAATCACATTCACGGATTGGAAGTGAAACATTCAGTTTCATATGATTTATGCTATGATCTCTTGCTTGCATGCACGACTATATTTATTCCGACTCCTAATTGAAAAAAATTGGATACTACATGTTTTACTCTTACCTGTTTTGTCTTATTAGTATTGATCTTGGCCTATTTTGGCATTTCCCCGTACAAGACTTGACTAGAAAAAAATTTGGGATACCTATTGGGTATTTGATGGCTGGCCTTTGATATTTTAGGTTTGATGAGATAAAAATTGTTAGCCGTTTGGCTTTACTGATTGGGGCTTCAGGGCCTACAGTATGTGTGCATAGGCTCTTCTCCAACTCCTATTTTAGGTTTGGTTGACTTGATGCTAATTAATTCTTGTCACAAGTTACATACAAGGACAAAAACAAGGACTTGTCAAATTTAATTTAGGTTGTGTTTTCTATACCTGAAAAAAAATATTTCAAGATTCACCAACTTCAAAATTATATGTTATTTAATACTATATTAGTATTAAACTATTAAAATTTATTGAATAATCAGATTTCTCGAATAAAATATTATAAAAAAAATATTCTCAAAATTTCAAAGTAAACGCGTTTTCCATTTTTATGTTTCGAGAAATAGTTTTTCAGAATGACAAAAAGAACGCATTTTCAACAATTTCAAAACATACACTCAAAACACAAAATGAATTCAAAACTTAAAACTCAAAACTGAAACACAAAGAGAACAGCCCCTAAAAGTCTTAGCCAAATTAATTTAAATGCAATTATCAAATTGCTGCTGAAGATTTAAGAAAAAAGTGTGATCAATGTAATAATATCACGCACCGCATACACAATCCTTTAGTAAAAAAGTGTGATCAATGTAATAATATCACGCACCGCATACACAATCCTTTAGTAAACAAGCCATCACGTGATGAAAATATATCTCTTATTCCAATGCGCTTCCATATGCATATACGAGTCCCAACCAGACCAACCACCTATAGGACAATAAAGGAAACTGAAAGTTAAATGTTGTCAGTCTTTAGACTTGAGTCAAATGAACCCGTTTCATGAAATCATAATAATTATGAGGCATGCCATCCTTCCCTGGTATGGCAGAAGTGAAGCAAGACAGGAAAAAACAGCCTAGGTTCTCCACCCCAACCGTATCTTATGTATTCAAGCATATAAAACACTTCACGTTTCACAACTCACGTGAATGTACAATTACGGAATAACAGAAAAAACACTAATTGGGTCTGACTTCTGAGAATTACAGTAAACATGACTCACTCAGATAATATTAGCCAATCATTAGATACCCCCATGTCTTAGTCTTCAGGATCAAAGGAACCTTAGCTCAAATTCATCTTAATAGGACTACTTAAGTTCTCAATCTCATTTTCATGAGGTGGTAACATAATATAAAAACAAGGGGAACACATTGGGCTTTATGGTTATCAATACATCAACCACTACATATGAAATAAAAACCAAAATAAAAAACCAGAACACGTGATTTCATACTTGGAGTAGAACTGTATAAACACAAAAGGCTGGACATAGTCCTATGTATTATCTTATTCTTTCAGATCCTTTCAGTGGGGATAACTAGCAGAGTAAAGTAATCATTCCAGATCAATAAAATTATATGAGCCACAGCACTGCACTAATATTTCCATTTCATGCACAGGAAGAAATTTGTCAAAAAGATAACAGAAAGCTATGAAATTCCTGCACAAAAAACTGGGAAACTATCTTCCTTATCCTGTTACAGTAGATTGCGAATAAGAGGTCAACAACAACACAAAGAACTGGCTCAATCAACTTAAAGGAAATGCATTGTCTTATGCAAGAGTAGTATTATTTCTCAAACTCAACCACAAAGCATTTAGATCAAATCAATCTGAGCCATTTTTATCTAAAAAGACAGACACTTTTTCCACTTCGTAGACATGGTGGATATTTAAGCAAAAATAGTTTAAAGAGACATGGAGATTCCGACGCCGGGGGACGGTCGGAGAGGACCACGCGCCGCGCCGGAGGCGCGTGTGCCGGCGCGTGACCGCCACGCGCCGGCGACTGGGAAACAGAAAATGCACCAGGAGCGTGCCGGTCCAGCCACGACGCCTGTTCTTCCATCAGATGTGCCGTTTACACAGATTTTGGGTAAAAAGGTGGGGAATGGATATGGCTTGGTCTATGATAGTCGTTTTCGAGTTGAGGCGAAGGAGTTTGTAATTTCTGTTAACTATTTAGGCACTGTTAGATTGACAGAGTGGGGCTCCAGGTTATCAAATTCTATTTGCTTGGGAAGATTTGGCGCACTTTGGATGGTGAACTTAGTGGACAAGTTAAGGGCGACTAGCAGATTGATGGGTTTCGCTTCTAAGTTTAACGAATCCCATGGAGCTTATTTGGCACAACGTTGTGCGAACAGCCGTGGTAGGTACTTGATGATAGCACAGTATGGGGAGAGGCGACGAAAGGGAGTTGTGATGGTACCGGAGGGTGTGAATGGAGAAGGATGGGCATCGTTCTCGCGGGCGTTTCAGGCTGTTGTTAACTCATTTGTTGCCGGTGACAAGGCCAAACGTCGAATTGTGGACGATAGAAGGCGACAGGGAAGGACGTATGCTGGGGTTGTGGCAAACTCACAGGGTTTACAGAATGTCGATCAACGGGTGTTGAGCGGATGGAAGTGGTGGGTGGTGGGAGTAACCCTAATTTAATGAGGCACTCGGGGGGGGAGGCAAGTGTTGGAGGAACCCATGGAGGGCGTTGGAGGGCTGCTGAAATAAGGGCACGCATCCAGGCATTGAAAGGGGAACTTGATGAATTAATTAAGCTTGTGGGGAGTGAACCTGATGCGGGCTGCGGGTTTATTTGTTGTCATAGGTGTGGGATGAGCGTGGAGGAATCTTCAGGTAATGGACAACTATTAGCCACATTGGACCCCAAGGGATCATCATCGAAAGTTGCCCAAACTAAAGATAAGCAGTCTTTGGTTGAGCCAATTCGTGAGCCTCAGACTCGGACGGAACAGGCGTGTTCAGTTAAGGAAGATGGAGTGGAGGTAGCGGGGTTGGTTAAGGATGTTGTCTCGGGTTTTGAAGCAGTTCACGAGGCAGAACGTTGGCCTAAGGAAGGGGAGCCGATTATGGCTAATATGGAGACAATAACTATGGATGCTTCGGATACATTTGGTTCCGATAAGGGATTAGTGTCGGATGAGAATCAGAAGGGATGTGTGTTGGCAGAAGGGTCAGCTTGTAAGGGTGTGGAAGAATACAAGGAGACGGGTTTGGCCAATAGAGTGTTGAATACTTACAATAGGAGGTGCTTGAAGCCTTTACAAGGAGGGGAGCAAGGGTCGGAAAAAGCCTTGGTGGTGTGGGTTGACGACGGTAAGAAGGGAGAGATAGACAGTGGCGTAATTCCAGTGGAAGAAGTGGAGGGACACATCTTTGCTGATGGGCTTTCACCTTCGAATTGGGTTCTTCAAAAAATTCAGGAGTTCAGCAGAATGGTGGGTGTGTCCTGTAACGGACATGAACGCGAACTCATGGATCTATTTGAGGCTCTGGAGACTAACAGAGGACAGAAGAAGAACACACAAGGAGGGAAATCAAGAAGAAAAGGTGACCGTGAACTTAAGCGCCTTGAATGGTCAGTTAATTATGACATCAAGGGTGGAGATTCCAAGAGAGGGATGTTAGGGAGGGATTACGGAGTGTTGAAATGATCCCAAAAATCATAAGCTGGAATGTGAGGGGGCTTAATAACGAGGGGAAAAGGCGGGGTATTCGACATTTGATTAGGGGATGGAGGGCGGACTTGGTCTGTTTACAAGAAACTAAGATGGAGTTTGTTTCGAGGGCTGTGGTTAGTAGTTTGTGGGGGGGACAACATGTGGGATTTCAATTTTTGGAGTCTTCGGGGGCTTCAGGAGGTGTGCTTGTCATGTGGGATACTAGAGTGTTTGATATGGAGGAGGTTAGTGTAGGGCTGTTCACTGTATCGCTTTCACTTAGGAATATTGGGGATGGATTCCGGTGGATGTTTGTAGGAGTTTATGGTCCGACCGTTGATGGTAGTAGAGGGGGATTGTGGGATGAATTGGCCAGTATGATGGCTTGGTGGAGTCTCCCAACGTGTATTGGGGGTGACTTTAATGTGGTTCGATTTCCTTCTGAGAGGTCGAGCGGTGGGAGACTTACGGGGGCTATGGAAGAGTTCTCAGATTTCATTAGGGAGAATATGTTGGTGGATCTACCGATGATTGGGGGAGATTTTACTTGGTCATCTAATCGGGACCAACCGGTTCATTCCCGTATAGATCGGTTTTTGGTGAGTGGGGAGTGGGAGGTTAAGTACTCAGATGTGACACAGAGGAGATTAGAGAGGGTGTACTCCGATCATTTCCCTATATCATTATCTGGGGTTATGAGGGGTAGTGGAAGAAAGCCTTTTAGGTTTGAGAAGATGTGGTTAAAAGTCGAAGGTTTTGGGGAGCGTGTACGGACTTGGTGGGCCTCTTATGCCTATAGGGGGTCTCCCAGTTTTGTGTTGGATCAGAAATTAAAAGCTTTGAAAGGAGATTTAAAGAGGTGGAATGAGGAGGTGGTTGGAGATGTTAATTGGCGTCAAAGTCAATGTCTCTCAGATATAGAGGAGTTAGATAAGAGGGAGGAGAGTTGTGGGTTGATTGGGGAGGAGAGGGAGAGACGTGGAGTATTAAGGGGAGAGTTGGAGAGGTTGGTAGAGATGGAGGAGATTGCGTGGCGCCAAAAATCTAGGGTTACATGGCTGAAAGAAGGGGACAAATGTACCAAGTTCTTTCATAGGATTGCGAATTCGAACAGGCGTAATAATTCTATCTCGCTGCTGGAGGTAGATGGGATTACTTATGAGGACCCACAGGTTATTGGAAACAAAATGGTGAGTTTCTATCAAAATCTCTATCGGGAACAGTTTGGGTGGAGGCCTGAGTTGGAGGGACTGGACTTTTCTACTATTACGGAGGAGGATGCTAGATGGTTGGAGAGACCGTTCGAGGTAGAGGAAATTAGGGAGGTGGTTTTCAGTATGAATGATGATAAGGCACCAGGACCAGACGGTTTCTCGTTCGCATTTTATAAGGCTTGTTGGGAGGTGGTGCAAGCGGATATTTTGAATGCTCTTAACTATTTTTCTGAGTATGGCAGGTTTTTGAGAAGCTCAAATGCTACATTCATTGTGCTGATTCCCAAGAAACCAGGGGCGGTGGACATTAAGGATTTTCGCCCTATTAGCCTAGTTAGTGGGGTGTATAAGATTATTGCGAAGTTATTGGCGAATCGATTGAAGGAGGTGCTGGGGAAAGTGGTGTCTAAGTTTCAGAATGCCTTTGTGAAAGGAAGACAGATTTTGGATTCTGTGCTTATAGCAAATGAATGCGTTGACTCAAGATTGCGTTTAGGAGTGCCAGGGATGCTATGTAAGCTCGATATTCAGAAGGCATACGATCATGTTAATTGGAAGTTCCTTTTGTATATGCTCCGTCGATGTGGATTTGGGGAAAAGTGGTGTAAGTGGATTCAATTTTGTATCTCAACTGTTTCTTTCTCGGTTATGGTTAACGGCACTCCGGAGGGCTATTTTCGAAGCAGCAGAGGATTGAGGCAAGGGGACCCCCTGTCTCCATTGTTGTTTGTTATTGTTATGGAGGCGTTCAGTAGGATGCTAGAGAAAGCTGTGGAGGAAGGTTTGATAAGGGGTTTTACGGTTGGACATGCACAGATCTCGCATTTGCTATTTGCAGATGATACACTGATTTTATGTGATGCTAATGATGAGCAATTGAGGAATTTACGTCGGCTACTTCTATGCTTTGAAGCGGTGTCGGGCTTGAGAATTAATCTGGGAAAATCTGAGGCTATCCCAGTGGGGGAGGTTGCTAACGTGGATGAGTTGGCTGGTATTTTGGGATGTAGGGTTGCGCATATGCCTATATCATACCTTGGACTCCCTTTGGGGGCACGATTTAAATGTCAACATATTTGGAATGGAATCATTGAAAGGATGGAAAAGAGGTTAGCGGGCTGGAAGCGTATGTACCTTTCGAAGGGTGGACGCCTTACTCTCATCAAATCCACTCTCTCCAACCTCCCTACTTATTTTTTGTCGTTGTTTCCTATTCCTGTTACAGTGGCACGTAGATTAGAGAAGATCCAAAGGGAGTTTCTTTGGGCAGGGATGGGAGAAGAGAGGAAATTCCATTTGGTCAAGTGGAGTGTAGTTTGTTCTCCTGTAAGGGTGGGGGGGCTTGGGTTGAGGAGCCTGGTCCTGTTTAATAAGGCATTGCTGGGCAAGTGGTTGTGGCGATTTGGGGTGGAGAGGCTGAGTTTTTGGAGAGAAATCATTGGAGCGAAGTATGGTGTTATAGAGGGGGGTTGGTGCTCAGTTGACGGTCGTGGTTCTTATGGGGTGAGTTTGTGGAGGTATATTCGACGAGGTTGGAGCGACTTTCGAGATAATGTGGACTATGAGGTAGGATATGGGAATAATATCAGGTTTTGGGACGATCGTTGGTGTGGAGATCAACCGCTTAAGGTGCGTTTTCCTTCTCTGCATCGCATTGCCTTGGAGCCGTCTGCTATGGTAAATGATGTACTCACCATTCATAATGGAAGTCACAGTTGGAATCCTATTTTTGAGAGGGGTTTACAGGATTGGGAATTAGATGATTTTGCATTGTTTCTGACCTCTTTGCATGAGGCGCACGTTCAGGTTGGAGTAGACGATCGTAGCAGGTGGAGGTTGGCACGGAATGGTATATTCTCAGTTCGCTCGTATTTTAGATCATTAGTTGAACCTGCGCCGAGCTCATTCCCATGGAAGATGGTGTGGCAATGTAAATTGCCTCCACGGGTGGCTTTTTTATTGTGGACGGTTGTGCGGGGGCAAGCGTTAACGGTGGATAATCTTCGAAGAAGGGGTCTTTGTGTTACCGAGTGGTGTTACATGTGTAATAAGGATGGGGAGACGATTGATCATCTGTTCATTCATTGCGATGGTGTTCGGTGGCTTTGGAACAGCATCCTTGTTTCTCAAAATTTGGATTGGGTGATGCCTAGGCGAATTGAAGATGTGATACGGGCATGGAGGAGAAAATTTCGTGATAAAGATAGTAGGATTGTATGGGATCTTATTCCGGGATGCATTGTTTGGTGCGTGTGGAGAGAAAGGAATAGCCGCTGTTTTGAAGACCAATCAAGAACAATAGAGCAGTTCAGAGAATTCTTTTATCTAACTTTGTATAGTTGGTTTAGTACTTTGGCTAATAGCCATATAGAAGGGTTGCCTAATTTTATGTCGTTCCTATATTGTTTAAATTGATAATACATTTCCCATGTATTATCTCTTGATTTATTAATATATTCTCTGATTACTTATCAAAAAAAAAAAGGCCTAAATCACTAGAGGAAAGGTAGGCACAAAAATTCTCAATGATATCATCAAAAGGCTACAATTTAGCTGCAAGAAGGCAATGAGGTATCTTTTCAAATTTTTAGAACATGGGGCTAGTATATAACCTATGAAGCATTGACACTGACATGTGACGCTAACACAAGCACAAAACAAGGACCGACATATGGTTTCACAAAAATGAAGTATGACATGGACCCGTTGATTACAATAAAATATCATTTTTCCTTTTAATGCTTTAATCAATAAAAATAAAGTCAATGTTGATTATGAATTTTGTTGGGGAAATATTTTCAATTTGAAGAATATTGGTTTCTGATTATGAAAATAATACTCATTTTCATTTAGGTTTTCTGTAACATGCAGTGAAGTTATATTCTGCTGATAAAGGCAGAGCCTTTTATGGGTTTTCTATTATGTGACAAATGATATTATATGTTTAATGTAAGTGCAAAATGATTAAATAACTGGACCCAATGAGAAACCTTCAAATGTGTCTCTACATATTTCTTCCCTATCACTTCAGAGTCATCTGCTTTTCTATTCAAAATCCAAACCCTAACTCTATTCTAGCAACTTTTCGTTGAAGCAAAACCCCATCAGAGTATGCCCAATGTGTGTCGGAGTCTGAAACAAATATGGCGCTTGGGGGGGAGGGGGCAGTGTTGTGTCCATGCTTCTTAGCATATAACTATGATCGTGTCAACCTACAAGCCAAGCACAAATATTGGCATATGACACATACAAAATCACCTATTTGTTCTTTAAGTTGAAAAACCATCCATTGCTAAAGATAAAAGAAATGAAATTTGTACACACATACATGCAACGAATAAGCTAATTAAAACTGAGAACACCATGTATTTCACATAGAACATGGTCCCAATGGACTAATAATATCTATATAAACTTAAATATTTAGTTCTGTTTATTCAAGCTATTCCTGCATTATGAATTAGCCTCAGGATATACCTTGTATCCTCCGCTCTCTCTTGTTTGCCGGGTTGTGATGTTATCATTTATGAACATTTCATGTTTATTCAATATCAAGCTATTCCAGCATTATGAATTAGCCTCTGGATATACCTTGTATCCTCTGCTCTCTTTGGTTTGCCAGGTTGTGAAGTTATCATTTATGAACATTTTTTGAATAATCATAAGCATTTAAGATCAAAGTTGCAATGGTATTGAAGTCATGTACAATTTTACAAAGCAAGAATTAAATCTACTTTACATGTTACCTTCCCTTCATCAAAATCAAAATCAATTAAAGGGGCTTTGTCCGGAAGAAAATATTCGTCCAAACATTTGCAGCTTTCAGCAGACCAGAGACGCATCACCTAGCACCAATTAGAAGCCAAGAACATTAGCTGAATCAGATGTCTAAGGTTCCCAGTACAGTCGAATGCAAACATTTAAAAAAAAAAAAAACGTGTGTACTCAAAGATCAACATTTTTTTCTTTGAAGGTCACTTTCATTGACATTACCATTGCATAACATTGTTGAGAATTTTTTTCAAAAAAAAAAGTGGACAGTTGCTTCATTGGGCATCAGCAATTAATTGCATTATTGAAAACTAACAAATCTTGGCCTTGTTAAATGGAAATAGGAATTTAACACGAAGACTGCAGCCCTATGATGCACCGATACGAACACGAGTATCTGATACGATATGGCTAGACACCGACATGTGATTTTCCAAAAGACTAATGACACGACACCTTAATTAATTATATTTATTATTACTTAGACTATAAAGCAACTAAAATTTTAGGACATATAGGTAATTTATTGTTTTTAAAATGCTTACAAAGGCAAGTTACTTTGGAAATTTAAAAAAAGTTGAATTTTAACCCAGTTGAACTACATATTTTAAAGGGTGAATAAACTCGTGTAAGATAAAATTTGGTCTAAAGTGGTTACCATTTAGAAAAGGCATGTTTTATGGCCTTAAAAAATTACACAAATCTAATAACTAGGTTTGCTTTGTGATTTTGCTGTTTCAGAAGATAGAGAGCTCAACTCCTTCGCCACTGTGATACAAGCGCCAATACGTAAAGATTGTTCCAGAAGGGAGGAAATGAAGAAATACACCATTAATCTCGACATATATTGAGATAGAAGGTAAGTTCTCGTTTTTTAGTTTTTCATTTTTTTGGTTCCTTTTAGCTTTGGTTTTTCAGTTATTTTTAGTAGTTCCTTTTCTCAAAGCCGACGTGAAAACTCTAACACCGCGCGTCGATGACATATAGCCGATGTGTCCAGCGATTATAATTGTCGGACTCGGGTACGGGTACGTATCTAAGTGTCGGATATTTTATTTTCTAAAATGTAGGATATGTAGACATGGTTAAAAAGAGTCCAAATTTTGGATACGGGTACGTGGGTAAGTCTTTCAAATTTCAATTTTTTTACTAATCCAAGATGTCTTTTAGGAAATTGGTATTAAATAAGGGGTTAAGACGAATAAAATATAATTTTGGGGTTTAATTTTCAATTATGGGAATTACTAAATATTATATAAAATAGAAAATAAAGGACATGATTGCAATTTGAACTTAGGGAAGCACTAAGTAGCACTATATGGAACTCATTTCCATTTTATACAAAAAAAACCCTAAACAACCGATACAGAGAGAGAAGGAAAAAGAAGAAAATGGAAAGAAAAAAGAAAGAAGAAGAAAAAAGTAAAATCTAGGGCCGCCACCCTTCTCCACCCTCTCGGTGGAGACACTAGGTTTATAGAGAGCGAAAACGGGAAAGAAGAAAAGGAAAGGAAAAGAAAAAAAAAGGAGGAAGAAGAAGAAGAAGCAAAAACGACGAAGTGTCCGATTGAAACTTGGAGGATCCTGCACATTCCATACCCATACCCATGTCGTGTCGTGTACACGCAGGTATTCCGACTATTTTGAAAAGTCCGAGTATTAGAGCCGAGCGGTGGAAAAACAAAAAAAAGGGGATACACAATGTGGCATTTCCTACACATGTCGTTGTTCGTGTGTTTGATGCCAACGTACCGGGCACCGAGGGGAAGTTTTGAGTTGCTATCACCGAATTCTGAAATGATTCTTTCGTCGTTGTGGCCACCAATATGTCTACTGAAGATCATCTTAAAATATAATATCAATCTGAGTACAAACTGATAAATAGCGCTAGGTCAAACTAAATATCAAGTAGCAATTTGATAACCAAAAAAATAAAAGAAACCCTTATCCTAGAATCATAATGAATAGTATATAATATGAAGAGGATTACGAAGCTTAATTAGATTACACTATGCATAACAAAAAAGGGTTGGTTGATGTACTTTATCAATGACCAAATTAGTGCACAAGACAGGTAACTGGAAAAACAATGATACAGCTATAAAATAGCAGCAACATACTTGGAAAGGCAGATTAGAAGAAATTACACTACTGTACTACATACAGCCCTGCATCTCATGTTTCATCATCTATATTCTCAGTACTCATCATGGCTGAGCCATTTAATCAGTAATCCAGATACTAACGGTAAAAATTGCTGTTTCCTCTGAGGAGGTCAAAAAGGCTTATGATATAAGAATTCTAACCATCTCCCGGCGACTTCTGGCTGATAATGCTTGGAAAACCAGTCTGTCCTATGGTAATTTTGATAAAGTTTCAGTGTGACAGAAGAAAAGTTTCACCCAAAAACATATTACATATTCTTCATGGGAATTCGGTTGTCCAAACTATAGTTTTCAGAAGTTCAATGCTGAAAAAAGGACGGAAGACCACTCCCATCATTTCACTGCATCAATCACTGTGAAGACATCTATCATCTCTTAACCAAAATAACATTTCCCAAAGATTTTGCCTTATAGTTAAGTTCCAATATCCCTGACGTTTAAAGTTAAGAATTTTAGTTAAATCACAAAAAGATTTCAAAAATTATTCCCTTTCAGAAGTTCAATTTAGAAAATTAAAGGAGTAATCCAGGAATCCAGTCTTATTCTTTTTCCAGCTTGGTAAATAGAAGAAATTGACGTCTTATGCAACATTCTTAGCAAAGGGAAACGAGAACCACAAACTGAGCTTGCAATTCACTTTAAAAATAAACAAACACGTGTGACAGCTAGAAATGAAAGAAATCTAACCTTATCACCCACACCAGTAAGAATCATTCCCATCTTCATACGGCACAGATTAACCCTAAAAGTAAGTCAGTTGAGAAAAGTTAAAAACATATCGATCCCCTATTATTCAAGCAATAATTAGAAACAGAAATTAAAGATGGAATTGCAATATATATTACCGTATAATACAAAAATGTGGTTTAGAATAGGTTACCAATCTCAAATTATGTAAAGGTACTCATATTTGTACATCATAGATGTGTAATTAACACACAATGTAGAAAGTCAAACATAAAAGTCTAGCAGACCTTTAACTAATCATCCATTATGGTTTAAACATGATAACACAATTTGGCGAAACCACTTTTGGAAACTAAAATGTTGATTAGCCGCTCAGTGTGAAATAGAAAATCAAACAAAGGACATATGTCTAGAACCATGTCAAATGAAATCAGCAATCTTTAGGTAGGTGCAGAAGCAGAATTATTTCTTGAAACGAGAAAATTTGAGAAACTTGATAGTTTGAAAGTATATCGTTGTAATGAATTGATGATCGAAAAAGTGTACAAGCCTTTGTTTATATAGGCAAATCAACATCCTAAACCTAAGGATATAAGGAAATTAAACAATGCTACAAAAAGAAAAGAAAACTAAAATCATAAAAGGAAACAAAATCATAATCTAGAAGCAGCAAAAATCCTACTAATGTATTGTCTTCTATCTTATTTCTATTAGGATTGTCCTACATCATTCTACCCCACTCGAAGAAAACTCGACCTCAAGTTTGTCATCGGATGAGAAAATTCGTTTGGCAGATAATATTCAGAGATGTCTGCAACATTTAATGTAGATGAGATGTTTATATCCATGGGAACTTCAATCTTGTACGCATTGTCTCCAATTTTCTTCAATATGAGAAATGGCTAAATCTTGTTATCTTTCAGTTTGATATACGTTATGACAGGAAACTTATTCTTTCATAGGTGTACCATATTTAAATCTCACTCGTCGAATAATTTTTCCCTACGAGGTTTATTAGCTGCAGCGTTGTACCTGATATTGGCGGCAAGTTCTTCCTAGACTCCTTATGAATACGTTGCACATTTTTTAGCAAACTCTTCAGCTGTAGAACTAACATCACTTTTTTGGAGGTAAATGGATTAAATCTATAGTGTATCGAAGCGCTCGCGTATAAACTATCTCGAACGACTATGTAAAATTTAAGTTCAGTAAACGTTCCTATACCAAGCTGATTGTTACATTCGTCCCAAACATCCCAAAAAGCATCATCGTCTACATATGACTCCTTCAAGCATCAAAGTTCATAAGTAAACAGGTGTGGAAGCGTTATGAAATTCTTGTAATAAGAATTGAAAATCAGAATTATATTGGAATAATCTTGTTTTATATTGATATATGATTGATTGATTAAAAAGTGTACAATACCCCTATATTTATTGGCAAAATTATCCATAATTCTATTAATAAAAGGAAACTAAATTCTAAAAAAAAATAAACTAATCCTAATATAAACAAGATTTAAGAATAAANAATCAATAAATGAAAGAAATCATATTCTAAACAAGAAATAAAAAGAAAAAGAAAAAATTTTTTAGAACTAGAAAAGATAAATCACAATTGTAGTAGGAAACTACTAATCATGATTATGTACTACATCAATCCCCTCCACTTGAATAAAACTCGTCCTCGAGTTTTCTTGAAGAAAAAATCAATCAATCTTGTGGAAAATACTCAAAAATTTCTGCAAATACCGATATTGAAAAAATGACTATTTCTTGATGTGCTCGATAAACGTCATTATATTCTTCAGTTGAATTATTTAAAGTCAACTTTGTTCCTATCATGCTTGTTATATTTTCTTCACTAATAATTTGCAAATGACATTCCTTCATAAACAAAGCATGATTTGATTTCTCATCATTGAGTTCGCTCTCAATAGAGGTCACTTGTGCTATTTTCAATTCTTCATACTTCTCACATTTTGTTGTAATGTTTAGTGATATTTTCTTCAACACAAAAGACTTGGTACGCGAACTCAAATCCTCGTCCATGGTTTCTTTATTTTTATACAATTCTTTAACACTAAAGCTGTAGAAAAGGTCAACAAAATTTTTATTCTCAATTTGACAATCTTCACCTTTGACTCTTTCGTGATTGCAAAATTTAATTTCTTCATCTCCTGTTGGACACTTCTGATCTTCAACTTGTTCATCCTTGGAGTACGGCTCGATCTTGAAGTTTTCAATTGTAGTTTCCATATACAAGGAATCAACAGGTCTCGAATTTTCAACTTGCACATACTTTTCTTTTTCTGTTTTAGTAACATGGTTAGCAACATTTTGATTATCTTGAATTACTTCTTTTTCAGCCTCATCATCGGCTTTATAAACCTTTTTCTCTTTGTCATTCATAAATTGCTCATCGCATGATACTAAGACAATCTTTTTATCTTACCACCTAAACACGTCTATTATCTTGACCTACGTAAGTGGCATCTACATCATAGTACCATGGTTGTCCCCAAAGTACATGATAATTGTCCATCTCTACCACGTTACATATAATCTCATCTTTGTAGTACTTTCCAAGAGAAAGTTAAATTTTACATACCTCCATATTTTGAGTTTCTTACCCGTGTGAAGCTTGATAACAAGATGAATATTTTTCAGTTTTCAAATTTAAAACTTTCACCAATGCTTTGGACACTAAGTTCTGACTACTTATATGATTTATTATCACTTTGCATACTTTGCTGTTGATGTGCATCATGTTTTAAAAATTTTATTGCGCTTTAAATTGGACTCTTTTATATTTTCTCGACTCGATAAACTATCGTAGAATCCTTGATAACTTGTGTGTGTGCAAATTTAGCTAGGACTTGAGAAAACTCTCTAACCACCTGTTGTCGTATTTTAATCTTGTTGAAGCAACCAACATTCATAGCAATTAAAGTCTGCAAATTCTTGTTAGCTTGCTTCTTCATAGGTTCGCGATTCCTTTCAAGACTCAACGTAGTCACCATCTGCGTGATGTTATGAAGGGTTTCATCGATCCCCTCGATTTGTTGTTCGAGTTTATCGAACCTCTGTTTGTCATCGACGATTCGACTGCCACCAGGACCATCGTCGGTCATCAGATTGAGGTGAATTTCTTGCTCTAATACCAATTTTGGTGCGGAAGCGTTATGAAATTCTTATAATAAGAATTGAAAATCAGAATTATATTGGAATAATCTTGCTTTGTATTGATATATGATTGGTTGTCTTGAAAAGTGTACAATACCCCTATATATATTTATAGACAAAATTATTCCCTAATCCGATTACTAAAAGGAACCAAAATAAGGAAACTAATAAAATCCTAATCTAATTAAAATTCATATTCTAATCAATAAATAAAAGAAATCATATTCTAAACAAGAAATAAAAATAAAAAGATAAAATCTATTAGAACTAGAAAAAATAAATCACAATTGTAGTAGGAAATTACTAATCATGATTGATTATGTACCACATCATAAATGTTCTTATACCAAGTTGATTGTTACATCCGTCCCAAACATCCCAAAAAGCATCATCGTCTACATACAACTCCTTCAAGCATCAAATTTATGAGGGTATATGGGCATCGTTGTTTGTGAGCCCTAACATTATGAGGGTCTCAATAACCTCTCCTAAAGTTTAGGTCTTCAAAATTACTCCTAAACGGTGATCTGCGTGCTTGGTTGCGATCTGGTTGGTGGCGTGAGGCTTCAATGTTGGCGAGCAGTGGTCGCCGACCTTGTAGATATTGGTCATTAACGATTAAGCCCTAGGGTCAATGTTCTTGTGATTTGCCCTATGGTTCTTTGTGATTTCATCAGGCCGCGTACGGTTTCCTCACGGATTGTTTGGAGGGAACTCGTGTCCTAAAGTTCTGCACCATGTCTTCTTCCTTATGCCTAACCTCGATCTTAAATATAGTTGAGGTCTACGGGACATCACAACGGATTTTTTCAAGCCATTACTTCGCTTCGTAGTGGCCTCAAACCTCCGTTTGTAGTCAATAGTTTTGTCTCAAGTTGGACTGTAGCAACCGAGAAATTTTAAATAATATAAAAATTATTTTTATTTTTTTTAAAAAAACGTGTNAATTATTATCTTGAAAAACGTGTCGCTAAACTATAACCCCAAATTTTAAATTTAAATCGTGTTCGTCTAGTAGTTGTTAAAACTAATTTAAATCCATTCAAATCAAGTTCAATCCCGAATATTTTTAAAGTATCGAATTTCTTATCATTTTAAATCCAAATATAATAATTATAAGTGCAATGCTTTATTTAGGGTCCAAAATTTTAATAGCCCGAATCTGGACTATTTATCCCAATTCACTTAAACCCAATTAGGAAAAATTCTTACAGCCCAAATTCTTGGCCCATTTAACTCCTAGAGTTTTGTGCCCTAAAATTCTACTGTTCATATAACACTAATTTCCTCCCCTCCCCACTATTCACGCAGCCAATAAATCTGGTAAGAAAAATTCCATCTCCCCAATTCAGCTATTGGGAAACTGACGTTGAGGCTAAAATCAATTTTTAGCACCAGCAGCCATCCCTCAAAATTTGGAAACCCTCGATGATGCTAGAACATCAATTCCTAGCATCAACCTGTTGATTCCACAAATTCGGACCCCTCAACCCAACCTCAAACCCAACTCCAAACACACATAGGCTACAACATTCGAACAAACTGCAGCCACCCCTCCCACAGTCGAACCACCACACCAACTCCACCATCACAAAGCACCCCCACCGCAGCCACCGCCTACAACCCAATCGACAGCCATTTTCACCCCAAAATCGACACCCAATCAACCACGAAACCAAGAAAAAAGCATAACCCATAAACTTACCTCACTCCCCAACCCATTTCCAGCTTGATCGCCACCAAGAAAAAAAAAAAGAAAAAACCCAAGAGTTCGAACTTCCAAGCCTCATTTTCTTTCGGACAGTACACCAAACAACCCTCCCAGATCGCCTCCACCCACACCCCGATGCCACCACACGACGGTGGCACTGAGGCCGCTTCGCCGGCGGTCGAACCGGAGGAAGGGGCAGAGCCCTTTCCCCGTCGCTGCTCTCTCTCTCTGCTCGTGTTAATCGATTTGAGAGAGAGAAGAGGGTGATAAATATATAATTTATTTTATAATTTGATTTTTAGAAATCTACCCCTTAAGCCCCTAAACTTTATTTTTATTATTTTAAGCTATTTATTTCAGCCTCAAAGTTTCGGTGATTAGTAAATCAGTCCCTGGAGTTCTTGTTTCCCACAGTTAGCCCACTAATTTCGAAAAGTATATTTTCAGTCCTTAAACTTTTCAATTTCAGTTTCAATAAATTTCCAATTAAGCCTCTACTTCCTAAAAGTTCAATTTCTGCCCTTAAACTTTAATTTTCAGTTTTTATAGATTTCAATTAAATCCCTAGAGTNTACGGATGATTAGGAGATTGAGGTTACTTCCCGCTCCATTTTTCACGTGACTCGAGAAAAATTGAGGTAGACTCGCCACCATTAATTAGTTTAAATTATAATTGCATGTATTATGTGAACTTACGTGATTTATATGATTTAATACATAAGATAAGAATATTTCTTATGAGATATATGATGTTATGCTTGTCATAACTTATATGCTTTGATGCATGAGAAGAGACGAGTATCTCTTATGAGATAAGATGAGAATGTTATGCATAACATATGTTCTCAGATGCATGAGACGAGACTACCCACACCCTACGATTTTAAAGAGCCTATGATTTTTAAAGAAAATGAGCATATGATGATGATGATGATGTCACGGTATAAATTGCATGATTACGTGTTCAATTATTCTGTAAATAAATTATTGGCGATGAGTCTACTGAGTATTTCTTCGAAATACTCATTCCGTTATTTTAACGACATATGCAGATTTTGGAGACGGTCGGGTTTGATGGGTAGTGGTGGCAACGAATTAATGGATGAAGTTATTTACTTTTGAAATTTACGTATTTGAACGTTATTAACGTACTTTGTCATTTTAGTTATTTCAAAAACTGATTTAATCAATTTTCTTAAATTAATCAAATAAATTTTGTTGCCGACGAGATTTTACAATTATAAAGGTGATTTTTAAAATTTAGTTATTTCCGCGAATCTTTTTAGCTAATTCAAGACAATGAGGATGACGTGGCACTCCGGGTTCACTGAACTCGAGGCGTTACATGGACCGTTCTTAGCATTCAGATTAGGTGAAGTTGCTTCGATACCATTTTTTTGAGGAAGCGGAACTGTTTCTTGAAACAAGAAAAATTGAGAAACTTGATATAGTTTGAAAAAGTAAAATTTTTTTGTATGAACTGATGATTGAAAAAGTGTACAAGCCATTGTTCACATACGCAAACAAACCTTCTAATCATGACGATATAAGGAAATTAAACAATATACAAAAAGGAAACAAAACTAAAATTCTTAAAAAGGAAAAAAAAATAATAATCTAAGCCCCTGTTTATTACACATTAAAATTTTCATTTTCATTCTTCTACTCATTTTCAACCACACATTCTTCAATAAAATAATATTTTCATCATATCAATAATTTTTCCTTTTTTTTCAACCACACATTCTCCATCTGTCCATCAATCTACTATTCCAGAATAAATTATTCCAAAATAATGTAGCTCAAACACACCCTAAAAGAAAACAAAAATTCTACTATCATAATAAGTATCTTCTATCTTATTTCTATTGGGATTGTCCCACATCATAGATTTATCGAGAGCCCATTACCACAAATCCAGAAACAGGAGTAAGATCTCATCCTGAGAACGAACATGACTAAAATAGTAGTAGTATTATTCCAAATCCGTGTGTACTACCTTCAGCAGTTTCATTTTGTACTAGAAACCATGGAACATTGAAAGAAAACAGAAAGAATCTGGATTAACGTCACTCATGACATGGTAATTTCAGACTTCGAACCCGACACTCCAATTCTCAGACAAACAAAAATATGTTAATTACACAACACTTAATATGTGCATTCACAAAAATCCCTCTTTAAGAAAATAATTTACATTGTAACAAGAAGTTCTCCATCACAGAGATCTCTCATCAGGTTTAACAATAAGGTCAAGTGTATAGACAGGTGCAGATGTAGGCTAATCTCTTTTCAGCTTCAGTTGAATTGTTTTAGTTTATCTAAATTAATAAGTTAAAAAATTACTCATCAGATCTAATTGAACAGAAGTCTAGCTGCATCCTGTATAGATAAAGCAGTCACTAAAGCTGCAAAGGTTTTGTGACATGACTTTAACCTAAAAGCTTGCTTATTTTTCCAGTTCTACCAGTAAAATTTATTTTTAAATCATTAAAAAGTTAAAAAGATAATAATCTTAATCAGGAAACTAAATCTACTGTATTCCCTTATCAGTTTCCTACTTAATAATCTATTTAGGAACCCACTGACATATGTACTCTTAGAACTACAATTACAGCATTGTCAACTTTAAGCAGTTCAACACTCAAAAGAACTCCACTATTTTACATTGACTCCTGGTACAAACATGAAGACTGCTGTAAAGAAGGACTCAAAAATAGCCAAGATATATCCACTCTTTTATCCACATCATCGTAATTAAAAAAAAAAAACTCAAAAAGTAGACAGACATAACTAGTAGAAAAAATCATTAACCAGATCTTAAATAAAAATTTCAAATGAAGTATCTGACCAATCATTACTAAAAAGAAAATAATCAGATTAACAGAAGCAAACAAAAACCAGGGCAAAAATTTACCTCGTTAAATGACCTTTCCACTGGAAAATATCTGCAGGACCTTCTTGTAAAGAAAATTTGTGTTGTTCCATAGCCAGCTGCTCCAAATGGATATTCAGTAATCTTTCTGAATAAGCAGATGCATTAGAGAAGGTAGCAGCATCTATCTGGTGTTGCTTCTGATACTGTATTTGCAGTAACTTCAATTTTCTAATCGCTATGCTCCTTTAAGGGATCAAAAGAACAAAAGTAATTATTTCATTACTCATTATCAGTAATGCATTTAATGACGCATAGAAATGAAAATAATGGAATGAAAACATGAAATAGTAATTACTTAACAACTCTTTCAGTTGTGGTAATTGGTAAATCCTTTTCTCTCTCTCCTTCTCATGGAAGACAAAAGTTATTATTCAGAGAATAATTGGATATTCCACTACATATGCACTTCACAAAATTTTACCATGAACTTTCAGATGCAATCACGGATCAATTTACCTTTTTATCAAATAGTTCTGCTTTCTAACTTTCAGTAATGAAATAAATATGCTAGTAAATATTAAAGTTTCCATCATCTTGATTAAAAAAAAAAAAAATTATATATATATATATATATAGNGGAATGGTTTAGATTTTTAAAAAAAAAAATTGTATACAATTACTGGTTTTTCAGAAAAAGAAGTCATTATTAGAATTCGTGTAATCGATTAAATAAACATTTTTCCCAAGATTACACCAACACAGCATGTGGTATCATGTGTCAAAAACTTGCAATTGAATTAGATATGATTCCCCACCCCACCAAAAATAAATAAAAATTAGGACTAGGTTTGCACGGATTTCAATTCCAGAAGTACTGAAAACATACTGAAGGATTTACTCAAAATTCAATTATCCTTGGTAAAAGATCTATCCTCAAGCATTCAACTTTCCCTTGTCATCATAATACAACAATTCTGCAAAACCCAGCAAACTTAGCAAAATATACACCCCAAATGACTGAAAAGCTTAACTTTAAACAATTATCAAACATCAGAATGATATATTCTATGTACTTCAATTTCAATTAATAGACGTGATAGGGGAAATGCCATACCCGAGACCTAAAATTCTGTATAAAGCTTAAATGGCGTTTTAATTAAAAAAAAAAAAAAGCAAAAAAGAAATCTCTGTTATTGCTATTTGTGCTCTCAATTTTTTGAAAATTAAGTGGAAGGATGTGTGTGTGTGTGTGTGTGTGTATATATATATATATGAACGGAGGGTGCTTCGAGTGAGAGAAATAACCATGATTTGCAGACGGCGGAACAGCGAATGAGGTGGACGAGGTCGAGCAATGAAAATATCATACAGAGAACGTCGTGACCCAGAGCGCCGACGGTGGTATGTTTGCGCTGCTTCCTCTTGGCCGTCGGTTGACGGGGAGCCGACGAACTCCCGGGATCCATGGTGGTTCTTCTTCTAAAGAGTAGGAAGTCTTGGCCTACAGTGCAAACTGAAATGAAAAGCTTTATTTCTCCTCCCTCGCTTGGCACATAATGAATGAGTTAATGAGCAGTTGGCGGGGTGGGGGGAGGGGGGGCCTCAATTAAAATTGCGATGAATTTTAAAAATTCTTCTAAATTTAGGTATCTTCAATTGAGATTTTAAGGGATTTTAATGAAATTCATTAAAATTTTGATGTTTCCAATTGAAATTTTAATGAAATCCTTCAAAATTTAGGCATCCTCGATAACTGGTAGATTTATAAAGATTTTATTAATAGATGGATTTTAAAAGATTTGGATGGATTTCAAGCTTAAAAATACATATAACCAAATCTTTTGAAATTTCACTATATTTAATGAAATTCTTATAAAATTTGTGAAAATTTATTCAAATTCACGAAATTCATTAGGATTTATAATCTTTTAAAATCTATCAAAATCTTAGTTGAGGACACCCCCATAAATGTTTTATTAGCCATTGAACTTTGGATTATGTCACGACTTACTTACTCGCCGAACTTTCAAACTTTTCCTGATGGCCACTATACTTTGATCTGTTACTGCCCATTACTCACCGAATCAAATATGTTAATTGACGTGCCTACATGGCAGATGGATATATTGGCTGGCCAGTTAAATCCTTACAAGTATTAAATGTTTTGCCGAATCATCGACCGCATCAACATATTAAAATCGTGTTTTGATAATTTCTTACACGTTTAAATAAGTCCCAAATTTTCACATTCCACCCAAATCACAAACATTTTACTGAAGAATTGAAGAACCCTAGCTTCAGCCTAAGAATCTTTTTCGATTATGAGGCGAAGTCTTATGAGTTCCGAAAATCAATAGAATTCTTCTAGGTAAACAGGGGTATCCCGAAGTAGGTAAGAAGACGTGCTCACTATTTTAGAGTTTGTTTGGGAAAGATTTTAATCCAATTAAAATTGAAAATATAGCCGTTATTGGATCTTACTCGTCTAATAAAAGTCAACAATAATGGCTAGTTTTTCAATTTTAATCTGATTTTAATCCCTCCCAAACAAACTCTTAATATATTGAAAAGAGATCAATTTTTTTGTTGTTTCTAACTCTGTAGGTATATATGATTTTTATGTTTTTATGTCTTTATACATGTTTATATTGTAAAGTTTGAATCTTTGTCAAAATTCTCAGATTGGTGTTAAGTATTTTGTCTCGGAGTTGAGATTTTGTCTTCAATTAACTGAATTTTTTAATATTTTTGAGGTGTTTAGTTTTTTCTTTTGAAATCTGTTACTTTGGGTTGGTTTTTTGTTGTTGAATATGGCGTTGATTTGAGGGTTAATTTATTTTAATTTTTTGTATATTGTAAGTTAGCTGTGCTGAATGGCTAGGAGCTTAATTGGTAAGGGTGAATGTTTTTATTCTGATTGAATTTTTATTGTTTTTGGTGTTTATATAAAGGGTTGTGATGTAAAGGGATTTTTAGGTTCAAGTCTTGATCTTGGTATGAATTAAATGGATTTTCTATAAAACGAATTTATAAACTTTCATTAAATATGATTTTCGATCTGATTTTATTTTCATTATTTGGCTGCATCAGCATATTATAAGGGGAGGAAAGAACAAAGGGATTTGTCATGGTTGTCAAAAGTCGGGCCACTACTTGTTGGATTGTCCGACGAAGAAATCGTGCCCAGTATGCGGCAAGTGTATTCAGAAATGCATGGAAGTTGAAAAGATGACTGAAAACTTAGGACGGCTATTTTTCTATTGTAGTAACGATTGCACTCATTTCAATTGGCTCGACGAAGATGAATATTGTCAATATGAGGGTCAGTCAAGTGCTACATCAGAAATTCACGAGTTGTCAGTTTTGTTGAAGCGTGTTGCAAAAATAACCGAAAAAAATGACATAGATATATCTGTCAAATTTACTTTTCGCAAGGGAAAATAAGAAAAGGATAACGGGAAACAAAATGGAAGAGCTCTGCAAAACTCAACCATTTATGTTATTCTCAAGTTTGAGTAATTCACTGGTTTTACAATCTGTTCGTAGACGTCGAACTTTGGATTGTATGTTAATCCCATTAATTTGGAATTTATGTTTGTAATTTCAATGTTTTTATGCAACAAACTTCGTAATGGAAGTTCATATTAATCTATCATTGCTATAGTCCTACCAACATGATTTTTTGTTTATAGACAAATTCATGTCATTTTGGTGCACCTTAATAAGTATATATGTACCGTGTGCCATTTACTAGATTTGTTTGAAATGGGTTTTACATCAGTAGCTGCACAGAGTGGTGTGCACATTGTTAAAAAGGAGATATGGTAAGAGCATCCAATATATACACTTTGACCCCACCTATAGTTGGTACCTCATTATCAATATTACTTGAATGAACAAAAATAGAGCATCTATTAAATTAATCTGTTCCAATGCAACCTTACTCTCAGGACCATTGACTATTGCAAACAGTAAAAAAGCATCCAATTTACAAGAATTCAAATCTAACAAAAGCTGTTGCCAAGGGATCAACCAACATAGGCCATGAAACTACAAACTACATGCTAAAATGAAAGCAGATTAACTTGCAAAGCCAAATCTCTGAAACTATAGCATCCATTGATCAAACAAGTAAGCCAATGTCAAAATATGTACCCTAGCTGTCATTTAGAACAATATGTTTACAATTTGCATGCCTAAATCTTTTATACTCAACAAAATAATATTTCAAAAGCTACTCCAAAAAAACTAGTGCTGTGTGGCTTTTTTGACACATGCCCGCTGCGACATCTTGCTCGGTACAGGCCTACTTCACTTCACTAAAAGTCTGTCAACAACTAGCTAGTTGGTTGCAACAAAAAACTAGAAGGCAAAAAAGGACAGCAACTCCCATCACAACTTCCATAAAAAAACAACACTGACTTCAAACATGTGTTCCTGCTATTGTACTCTACTCTACGCGTCGTCATTTTCCTGCCCTCGAAGCTCTTACACAGGCAAATTCCGCATCCCCCATCTCATTCAAGTCATCCAACAACATCGTCAAAGTTCACGTCATTGGTTGGAACATCAAGAAGAACCGACTACATGCACATTGTTGTTACTGGACCAGATTTCAGATTGCTAGATTGCGCTTCACGAAACACCATCGAGGTTAGAATGAAATGGAAAGTTTGTTCGTTCCCGGGATTGTGGTCTTTCGATGCTCGTTGTCCCCTGTCTGGCAACATTTTACTTTGCATAATGCGTACATCACATTTACAACTTATTCACATTATCCAAAAAATATGACAATGAACGTTTGCAAAACTCAATCAAACATTTACTAACTCGTTCGTCAACCGCTTTATCGCAATGTATGCCAACTGATTCTAAATTTCCTTCAAACCAATCCCGTTGACAAAAAAATAAAGTTATACTATATAAATCGATTTATAACGTCAACGAAATCAAGATCCTACTCACAGAATCCGGTACATTTGGCCTAGAGTGGTATTGCTTGTTGTGACCCTATTGTCCGCATAATGTGCATGTCATCTTCAATCGCCCCTCTCTCCGAATATACGTCTTCTCTTGTGAATGCACTATCACATCTTCATCTGCTCATTTTCTCCGATTTATCTATTTCCTACCCTTTGGCGATACATTCTACGACGGTGGAATGATATTTACCATATCCAACTGTGGCCATAACCGCATACCGTTAATTGGATGCATGATACTATTGTAGCACCTCATATATGTCTCTATCATGTTGCAGTTGTGAACGAAGTCTTCCAGATCATTTATGCATTCCCTAATTACTACTATTGCATGCATGCAAGGTATGCCTGTAAGTTCCCATTCTCTACATGCATAAGTTCTTTCCTCCAGATTGACAACAAATGTCCCGAAGCTGCATTCAACTTGCCATTTTGGACCACCAGAAAAGTACGATGTACATTCACGTGATTTCTCAGCAATTTTGTGCAATTTCTTACCGATCTTCAAACACAAACGTCCTGTACACCTCATCATCGTGTCTCGATGCTTTCGAATCCTATTCGTGAAGGTTAATTGTAGTAAAGTTAACAGCGATAGAATCATCTTTTCCCTATCAAACCACAATTTCTTGTTGAACACTTCGCATAGATTGTTAAGTAGAATGTCACTCTTCGATTAAACTGAGAAATGTGATCTATTCCATTCTTGTGGGTTCCTCTTTATAAGCCATTTGGATGCCTCCTCACTAAGTTGACGAATTTGTTTCATCCAATGTTGATAGTCAGCCACAGTGGTTGATTTAGCAGCCCGCCATAAGTAATTCTTCAGAATTTTACTTTTAAACCCAACATTAAAAAAGTTCGTGTACATACGATGTACACAAAACCTATGCTTGGCCATAGAGAACAACTCGTTTATCACATTTTATAGCCTCTTTTCTCTGTCGGTCATTAGAGTCCAACCTCTTCCATCTCCAATCCTAATATCCTCTGAGAGATAGGTCAAGAACCATCGCCAAGCTGCTATATTTTCTTTCTGAACAATTGCATAGGCAAAGGGATAGATGCAATCATTAGCATAAATACCAACTGCAGTTAACATTATACCTCCGAAACAACCCCTTAAGCGACAACAATCAACATCTACTACCTTCCTACAACCATCTCTAAAACATATCTTACAACAATTAAGCATATGTAGATCCCTTGAAATATCTGATCATGTAATGAAATAATGACTGTCAAGCTAACATTTATACGGAGTAACTCGGCTGCATAAGACCCGAATCGCCTAAACTGCTATTGCAAATTTCCTACTAAAAGTTTTTTTACATATCTCCGCATCTTCTATGCTACATTTCTGCTAATATCTGTACATAGATCTTTATTCACTGTTGCCAAAATTAACTTAGTCTTCCGGTCCGGGTCCGCCTTGAATTGCTCAATATGTCGACGTGTCAAGAATATGTAATTACAGTGTCTAC